AAAAAAAAAAAAAAAAAAAAAAAAAAAAGAAGATTAAAAACAATGTTGGAACACATTGTTGGCCAAATGTTATTATATTGTGTTAGGTTTTGCACAAGCTCATTCTTTTTATTTTTCGTTGCTTAGTCTAGATGAAATTTTGCTAGGTTTTTTTTGCTATCAGAAGGAAGGAGCGAAAATAACACTGTTAACAGCAACTGGATAAGAGCGATGGTTAGTTCGGTGTGCTTCAGCTTCAAAGCTCTTTTATTAAATGTGTAAATACCTAAAATAAAGAACAGCTTTCTCAGTTTGTTTCCCAGTGCATTCAAAAAATCATAGGTTTGATATACAGTGTTTTGTTGACCAATGCAACCAAATTGAACTAGGTAAAGTTGAATTTCGGCTCAGCCCGGAATCTCAGCTTACCTTTCTGGGTTTATTTTTCGTCTTTTTCCAGACAGCCATCTGTTTATTTTGCGCTATATGCTAATTATGTTGATAATTGACTAACAACGAATATTTGGTGCTACTTATTCTGTCTGTATCTTTTTGCCGATTAAAATAAGTTGGTTTAAATAGCGTGATATTCTTTAATCATTGTTCTTTTATACTTTCAATATTGTTTTTCAAATAATTTTTCGCTTCCTCAATGTTACCAGTTCGATTCATCAATTTTTTTGTATGAAGTCTTCTTCGTCTTCAATGTCATAATCTTCATCCAAGTTGTTTCATCATTGTTTTCGTTTTTTTCTTCTTTTTCCTCAAAAAAATATCAATAAAATAAAATAAAAAGCACAAAGTTTTTCTAAAATTTATTGATGGAATAGAAGGCGAACAAAAAGTTATTTTTTTGGTGCACGTGAACAGAATAAATGTTCTGTTATACGCTCACAAACACAGACACACTAATCTTTTTTTTATTTCTGTATCGTTCATTATTATCACCGATCGGCAACCATCTGTAAGGATGGCACTTTTTGATGCAAAAAGTACATTCAATTTCCCATATCTCTTTATTTCCTGTTTTTTGCTTTGTCATCTCTATCGTCTTATTACCAATTGAAAAAACAAAAAAAAAACTATGAAAACAAAAAAATTGATAACATTGATCCATCAATGTAGTAACCAGTCGTTAATCTCAGTTTTTTTTGGTTCACTTGCCCATTATTTTTTCACTTATCTAATCAATTTTTTTCCTCTAAAGAAATGATGAAAAAGGTTTAGTGAAGGTTAATGCTTTTACTTTTCTTTTTTGTTCTTCTTACTTTCTCATTTTAAGCAGAAAAATTTTGTCTCTTTTTTTGTTGTTCTCATATAAAATTTGTTGTCTGTACATATACATGTTTTCCTTTATTTCTGTTGCAGTTTTTGTAAGTTTTTTTTATTCAGAAAACATTTTAATTTTTTTAGCTGTTACTTTTTTTTTTGCACCGTATTCTTCACAGTCTGTTTTGTTTTCACTGCTGCATCGGTGTACAGTCTTAAAGTGCGGTATCTCTTCGGCTGAGTTCTGGTTTTTAATCCTTATATGAATTTCTTTTTTTTTTTTTGTCTTATTTTTTCACATCAAACAAATATTGTTTGCGGAATGAAAAAAAAGCTTCTTTTTTTTTGCTTTTTACTTTTTTGTCTTTTTCAACTTATTATTTTTGTTGCTGAACTTCTTCTATTTATCCATTTTTTTCGCTTTTATTACAACAGTTTTGTTTCCCACAACACAGTTTTAGTCTTATGACAGTGAGTCCCAATTGTAAAGCAAAAGCAAAAAAATTGTATAAAAAAGATTTTCTTTCTTTTTTTTTTTTTTTGTTTTTTAAGCAATTAGATAACTAGTTCACTCGTCATATGATTTGCTGCTTATCGTTTAGTCAGGTTCTTTCGTTCTTTCCTTCCACTTCAACCGTTCCCCCAGTCTGGGCACCCCGTATCCTTCCCTAACTCTTGCAAATTTTTTTGCAAGCAGCCAGCCATTTACCGAAATGATAGCGTTAACGGAGGGGTGGAGGTGAGTGGGACGGGAACAGCGGACAAGGCAAAAGAATGGGGGATGAGAAAAACAGCGAAAAGAAGTGAAACCAGAATCAACGATAAATTAAACTGTGGTATTGCTAACTTGCATAATGATTTATCAACCTGAATAAGAAGGAGAAAAAGTGGAATGAAACGAGTAGAAGGAAAAGGAAAGGGAAGGAAAGAAAAATCGACAGCAAAAGTTGGAAATTTCTTTCTGTATCGATGAATTGACGTTATAAACGTTTCCTCTGTCGTGGACTTCGTTAGTCCTTTTAACATTAACCAAAAAAGATGTTGCATATTATTTGTACAGTGGTTTGGCGAGTACTGATGTTTTTTTTTAACACAGCCAGCATATAAATTTCGTCAGTGGCTAAGAAAAAAAACTTTTTCTCCTTTTTTCTTTCTTTTTTTTCTTTTATTTCTTCTTTCATTTCTAATCAAATTTGTTAAAAATAATTGGTGACTACACCGTTTGCTGTGATTGCCCCATAGCTTCCGATTTACAAGGTTCATTGTTCAAGAAAAAGTTTCTCTTGTTTTGTCCTTATCTTTTTTTGTTTTAAGAAAAAAAACTAATAAATCATTCAAATGAGCAAATTTTTCCGCTATCAATAACCAATAAGTGGCATTGGATAAGGAAGTGTAATGGCTGCGTTTGAAAAGTAAACGACAAGAACCGATCGAAATGAATAGTGAAGAGTTGATTACTACTGACAAAAAAAACTTTTATCTTTTTGGTTGTTTAAGAATTTTTTACGATTCAATCAAAAATCTGTTTTCCTGTAGACATTTCACGTTGTGAAAAAAATAGAGGAAAAAACATCTGTAGATTTTTGGCAAATTTTATTGAAAATTTATTTTATTGAAATAAACAGACAACCAGTTATTTCCATTTTAATACTTGACATCGGAAAGGTTTCACTGCTATATCTGATGCAGGACTAAGCGTTTTGTAGATGTCGAAAATATAATTGAAAATCCTCAGTGCAGTTAAGCAGATTATCGTCTTAGCAATGATTCGGTGATGACGATGTCAAATGGCGACGATGATGACAATGACGACGATGTTGATACCAATGATGTTGATAATGTAGTTATAGCGGTGGTAATAATAACATTCAATGTCTGCTAAGAATACTCTAATTTTTAAAAACAAAATTTTTTTCTTCTCTTTAAGATACTCTTCTCTAAAGTTCAACTGCAATGATAACTGTATTTTTGATAAGTGCAAACACAGCAGTGTCTTCTACTTCTCTTCTCTAAAAGAGAATAAAGAGCAAATTGATCATCAAGAAAATTAAAAGCAAATTGATCATTGATAAAAATCAATTAATGCCACTAATTTCTGCTAAGAGCCAACTATGCAAAGGAAGAAAAAAAAGTCATAGCTAACGAAAAAAAAACAAACGGAACTCTCACTATTTCTAAACCTTTATCTTATAAGCTGTATTCATTTATTTGTTTGATTGGTATAGTGATGATAATGATGACGGAAATATTGCTGATAAGAAAGCTATTCTTTTGCTCTCCTCCCTGCCCCCCCTCCAAAAAAAAAGTGCTTTAAATTGATTTTATAAAACAAACTTTTTTCTGCTACCTATTTATTTTCTTCTCGGTATTATTTATCATCAAAATTTTTAAATTTTTTTCTGCAATTTTTGCTGTATCTACGCGGACAGCATTAAAAAAAAACGTAATAGGAGGGCTGTGATACTGAGAAACCAATAGGGCAATAAACCGAAACTGCTTCTGTCACAATTTTTAATTTTTCTGATTTCTATATTTATTTATTTTTGTATAATTTTGTTCGCAGTCTATCTGGTATGGGAATTTTCTTTTTTTTTTCGATTTGGACCGACAAAATCTTCACTTAATTTTTAAGTTAACATAGGCAGAGACCAGTCTATGTTAACAGAATCAGGTAATTCAATTTTCTAAAGATGAAAAAAACCCATACATGTTGTTAACAAAGAAAAGGCAAAGAAAAGGAAGGAAAAAAAGAAGAGATTAAAGGCCAGCTGACCTGTTGTTGTGCCAAAAAACTTAGCTGAGTTTTAAAAAAATGACAAACAAAACACACACAGCCACACAGACTCAAA